TGTCGGATCCTTACCCTCTCCTTCCTCAGTATTACGTATTGTAATAAAAAGAAATATAAAGATAATTTTTTATAATATCCCTTCCCTCTCAAAACTAGACCATGTCTCTCACACCATTCCTCATTACCCTCTAATTCAACTTATATAAGCTTAATACTGCCGGTTAAAAGTATAAATTTTAAATTCACTTTTCGTTTCACCTTTGAAAGTGAAGTCTGAAGATCCAGAGAAAAATAAAATTCTCTGGTGAAATAAATTATTACACATGGAGCCTTAAAGTGGTCTGTTTTTCATTTTAATTAAATTATTCGCTATAACTTAACATTGAGCCCTCAGGATTTCATCCTCCTCTGGATTATCCATACGGATTACCAAGATTTTCGTTACTTAACTATATATATATATATATATATATATATATATATTCAGAAATATAGTCTTAAGGTGTGCTATATTTATGGGATAAAGTGCTCAATATCAGAGATAGAGCGTGTGTAAATATAAAGTGAACAAAGAAGTCAACACTTAGAGGCGACAGTCTGTTTCATGCTATATGCAATCGTCAGGACACGTGTGCTGTTATTTTCTCGGCATTTTTTTTTTTGTGCATTGTGGGTATTCAACAATCAACAATCACCCCCAATACCGAACAAATAGCTTTAATTAAATTCTCAAACCAAAACAAAACTATTAAATAAGTGATATAATTTTTTTTTTACTACGTTAATAAAAACACCGATTAAAAAAATAAATAAAATAAGAAACAAACAATAAAAATAAATAAAAACAAACAAAATAATTTAACCCAAATAAATAAACGACTTCCGGTAAAATAACCGCCATAATAGAATACCCACAATACGTATATATATATAAATAGTCGAGAAAATAACAGCACACGTGGCCTGACGATTGCATATAGCATGAAACAGACTGTCGCCTCTAAGTGTTGACTTCTATTTTTACTTTTATATATATATATATATATATATATATATATATATATATATATATGTAAACAGGTTTGATTAAAAAGAAGCATCAGGTCTATCTAATTTTTTTTATCATATTTTCCAATTTAGAGATAAGGTGTTGAATGTTTTGCTCAGAGTTGTGGATAAGCTGTCCGGAGTTCATATCTTGTTATTTTTGTTCAAGAACTTTCGACTTTCGTTAGAATTTCTTTGTCTGCATCCTGATATTCTTTGGGATCCTGGACGTTTGAAATGTTCTAGTGTGACGTCATTTGTAACGGCACTTGCGAACGATATATAGGTTGGAATGCACCAAAATTATTTTCCTGTATTATTCAATTAGTTTAAAGTCTCATCAAGAAAGAAATAAAAAAAAATCCAACCAGGTGTCGTTGTAGGTTTGTCTGAAAATTTTGACCTGACTTATTTCCGATTTCTTCGAAATGAATTAAAGGAAATATAATAGATAAAGTGAACACTAAATAAAGATTTACTTATATTAGATTTACAGTATCCAAGTCGAAGTAACATGCAGGATATACAAATGATTTTCGAATTTGTTTATTTCTTTTACTATTTAGTAGAGGTTTTCTTCTAGGTGCTATATCCCTTCAGGACGTAGACGATCATGGCTCTCCACAATGTCCTCTCCTTTGTAGCTCTTAATAAATTTTCCCTTTTTGTTATCTCTTCTAAAACTTGTCTCGCCATCCACTTACATAATCTCATTTTTCTTTTATGTGCAGTATCTCTTCAGAACCAAGGCGATTATGGCTCTCCACAATTTCCTGTCCTTTGTAGCTCTTAATAAATTTTCCCTTTGTGCTATTTCTCCTAAACCTGTCCAGCCATCCACTTATTCAAACTCATTCTTCTTCTTCTATGTAACATGTCCCTTCAGAACGTAGACGATCATGGCTCTCCACAATTTCCTCTCCTTTATAGCTCTTAATAAATTTTCCCTTTTTGTTATCTTTCCTAAACCTTGTCTCGCCATCCACTTACTTAAACTCATTCTTCTTTTATGTGTCGTATCTCTTCAGGACCTAGGCGATCATGGCTCTCCACAATTTCCTATCCTTTGGAGCTCTCTTAATATTTTTCTCTTGCTGCGCCAACCATTTACTCGTGCTCAATAAATAGGTTATGCCTTGTTTTCCTCTGTCCTTCTTACCTTCAATCTGTATGTATCAAATTTTCCGAGCCTTCTTTCCTAATTATGTGTTGTAGAAATTTTAACTGTCACTTCATGATGTTAATTATAAGTTTCCTTTTTGTTCCCATTTTTATCTAAATCTTTGACCTTGCTCACATTCGGTCCAGCATCGATCCACAGGACCACATTTCTGTTACTTCAAGTCTCTTCTTCATCTGTGAGGTGATTGTCCAGCATTCATTGTCATATAGCAAGATTGATATTACGTAGCAGTTCAGTACTCTTTTCTTTGTTTCTGTTGCTTCAAGTCTCTTCTTCATCTGTGAGGAGATTGTCCGGCATTCACTGCCATATAGGAAGACTGATATTACGTAACAGTTCAGTAGTCCTTTGTTTCTGTTACTTCAAGTTTCTTCTTCACCTGTGAGGAGATTGTCCAGCATTCATTGCCATATAGGAGCACTGATATTACGTAACAGTTCAGTACTCTTTTCTTTGTTTCTTTTGCTTCAAGTCTCTTCTTAATCTGTGAGGAGATTGTCCAGCATTCATTGCCATATAGGAGCACTGATATCACTTAACAATTCAGTGCTCTTTTCTTTGTTTCTGTTGCTTCAAGTCTCTTCTTCATCTGCGAGGATATTGTCCAACATTCATTGCCATATAGGAGAACTGATATTACGTAACAATTCAGTACTCTTTTCTTTGTTTTCTTTGCTTCAAGTCTCTTTTTCATCTGTGAGGAGATTGTCCAGAATTCACTGCCATATAGGAGAACTGATATTACGTAACAGTTTAGTACTATTCTCTTTGTTTCTGTTGCTTCATGTCTCTTCTTCTTCTGAAACGAGATTGTACATCAATCACTACCATACAGGAGGACTGATATTGCGTAACAATTCAGTACTCTTTTCTTTGATTCTAACGCACTTTGATATATTTTATAAAACTGTATTCCTGAATCTCTTATTGATAATTATATAGTCGGTATGTCTTTTTTTTATTTCACCTCCTGATCTTCTTCATGTCCAAATATGCCTTGGATATTCTTGGAACCAGGCATTGGTCATTCGCTGTCTACCATTAGACCCAATTTCCCCCGTGTTCAAGATGAGTTCCTAGTCTGAATTTGCCAACTATTTCATAATCTATCTTCCTGCCTACATTGGCATTAGGGTGTCCCATGACACTTGCAATTTTTTGCTATCCGGCACCGACCAGCTCGTTTAGCGACCACATCATTATAACGTAACCCGGTCATTAAGTGAAGAGTAGTATTAAGGTCGGTTATTGCAGCACAGATTAGAGTTTATCCTTAACCTTGTAATGGTGTGGTATTCTCCGGGGAATGGATAGACTTGATTTCGGTGAACAGACAGTAAAAAGGTTTTAGTAGCCTTCGCTGTTCCAGCGAACTTCTTATATATTCCACATTTCTTCAGGACACGGGAGATCATGGCTCTCCACATCTTTTGTAGCCTTAAGTAACTTCTGACACTGTAGCCTTCTTCTATGCCATTCATTCGCACAAAGTCATTAAGTTAGTTGTTTTTCTCTGCTTCTGTTGCCTTTAGTATGCCCTGTGAATGTTAAATTCTCCTGACCATCTTTCCTCATTATGCCCGAAATTTTTTTTTTCTCCTTACAATATTTTCTTCGTATGCCTACTCTTACACTCATATCACACTTTAATCAGCACCCCCCTAGCTTACCTAGCTCTTGCACCTTGGATTCGGTGAACTTGTGTAAAAGAAAAAAGTTCTGGCGAGCTTCGCCAAAAAATAAATGAATACAGTATATACTCGCGTATAATGCGACCTTTGAAGATATAATTTTGAAGCTAATTTGACTACAGTAGATATATAATTTGGTCAACGGCGTAGCCATGGCCAGCAGTACATATGCTAATTTTAGATCCCGTGTATGATGTGACCCTCTTAAAATTCGCTTCAAAATTAGGTCCTCAAAAGTCGCATGATACGCGAGTATATACGTAAATAAATAAAAAGATTAGAAGCGCTAAAAATCACTGAAACAGTCGAAACGATCCAGACTGCAACATTACAGAAAATAGAGAAAACAGTGAATGGACTGTTGGAATATTGAAACTATTTTTTTGTTATTTTATCTCTTGTAAAAGTCATCTTACTATTGTGAAAACTATGAGTGCAAATAATACTAGCAGTCGTGATAGCGACAATATACATAATAATAATATTAATGACAGTATTAATAATAATAATAATGTTAATAATAATAATAATAATACACTATCAATAATAATAATAATAAGAATGTTAATAAAAAATAATAATGACAATGTTAATAATAATAATGACACTATCAATAATAATAATAATGATAATGTTAATAATAATAAGGACACTATCAATAATAATAATAATGATAATGTTAATAATAATAAGGACACTATCAATAATAATAATGACAATATTATTAATAATAATAATAATGGCAATGTTAATAATAAAATAATGACGCTATCAATCACAATTATAATGGCAATGTTAATAAAAATAATAATGACACTATCAATAATAATAATAATAATAATAATAATAATAATGACGAATTTATATAAAGTTTTAACAAATAAAAGCGTATACGGCCAGTGTTTTCTCGGTTGAATGAAATTGAAAACTCAAAGTCGTTGTACACGCGTGAAAGCTATGAGAAATTGCTTACTTTACAAGGCGTTTCCAACGTCCCATAGCCGCTGGAAAAAAAAAAAAGAAAAGTAAAATATGGTGGAAGTGGGGGGAAAGAAATGTCTTAGTACAGTAAAAAGATTTCTGACGCCATTTTGTTTTTTCACGTCTGTCCCTTGATCTCTTATTAACAGGCAGAACTGCGGAACACTTTACGGTGGAACCGAGACAATGTCGATTGCCGATTATTGAAACATGTTTCAATCGAAATAGGATGGAAGGAAGGATGGAAGGAATACAAAGGAAGGAAGATGGAAAATAATGGAAGGAATAGAAAGTAAGGGAGGAGAAAAAAGTAAGAAATGAAGAAGGGGCAGAAAGAAAGGAAGAATAGAAAAGAATAAAGAAGGAAAAGAGAGGAAGGAAAAAGAAATAGAAAGGAAGGGAGAAAGGAAGGTAGAAGGAAAAGAAAGGAAGAAGGAATAGAAAGGAAGATTGAAGGAAAAGAGAGGAAGGAAAAAGAAATAGAAAGGAAGGGAGAGAGGAAGGGAGAAGGAAGAGAAAGGAAGAAGGAATAGAAAGGAAGATTGAAGGAAAAGAGAGGAAGGAAAAAGAAATAGAAAGGAAGGGAGAAAGGAAGGGAGAAGGAAGAGAAAGGAAGATTAAAGGAAAAGAGAGGAAGGAAAAAGAAATAGAAAGGAAGGGAGAGAGGAAGGGAGAAGGAAGAGAAAGGAAGAAGGAATAGAAAGGAAGATTGAAGGAAAAGAGAGGAAGGAAAAAGAAATAGAAAGGAAGGGAGAAGGAAAAGAAAGGAAGAAGGAATAGAAAGGAAGATTGAAGGAAAAGAGATTAATGAAGCGAACAGAGGGCGTGATCGTGGTGCCTTTAAAGAAAGAAAGAAAGAAAGAAAGAAAGAAAGAAAGAAAGAAAGAAAGAGGCAGTGAGTTAATGATCGAGGTGTCTTTAAAGAAAGAAGAAAAGAAAGACATAAAGAAAGAGACTGCGAGTTAAAGATACAGTTGTCTTTAAAGAAAGAAGGGAAGAAAGAAGGAAACAAAAGAAGAGAGGTCGTGAGTTAATGATAGAGGTGTTTTTAAAGAAAGAAAGAAAGAAAGAAAGAAAGAAAGAAAGATGGAAAGAAAGAAAGATGGAAAGATGGAAAGAAAGAAAGAAAGCGGCTCTCAGTTGACGATAGAGATGTCTATATAGAAAGAGGAAAAGAAAGAAACAAAGAGGGTGTACAAAGGTGTCTTTAAAGAAAAAATACGAAAAACCGATAAAAAAAAAAAAATTATGACAAATAAGCAGCGAAATTATATATAAAAAAATAAATATTAGAAAAGATTTAAAAGAAAGAAAGAAAGAAAGAAAGAAAGAAAGAAAGAACGAAAGAAAAAAAAAGAAAGAAAGAAAGAAAGTGGCTGTACGTAAATAAGAAAGGTGTCCATAAAAGTGATAGAAAGAGGACATGAGTTAACGTTAGGGTGTCTTGAAAGAAAGAAAGAAAGAAAGAAAGAAAGAAAGAAAGAAAGAAAGAAAGAAAGAAAGAAAGAAAGAAAGAAAGAAAGAACGAGGGAAAGAAAAAAGAAAGAAAGAAAGTGGTTGTGAGTAAATAAGAGACAAAAAAGGTTGTGAGTTCACTCATTGACTCTATAAGTTATATACTAAAATATAGAGGTATCTTTAAAGAAAGAGACTGAGTAAATGAAAGAAGTATTAAAAGAAATAAAGTAAAAAAATAAACTTTGAGTAAATGATAGCGACGTCTTCAAAGGAAAGAAGAAAATAAAGAAACTGAGATTAAATAATAGACTCATTTTGAAAGAAAGAAAGAAAGAAAGAAAGAAAGAAAGAAAGAAAGAAAAAGTATATGAATCAATCATAGTGTGCTGTTCAAAATGAATAAAGAATAAAGAAAAAATCCCTGATCGAATGACGGAGCAGTCTTTAAAGAAGAAATGCCAAAATAAAAAAGAAAGAATAAAGAAATTTTGAGTAAGTAAAAAAAAAGAAAGAAAGATTCGTTTGATTAAAAAGACAGAAATCTGATGTATATTCGTGATATATATATATATATATATATATATATATATATATATATATATATATATATATATATATATATATATATATATACGTAGCAATGGAGACGATAATTAAATGAGTGAAAGCAAGCGTATCCTTCGGAAAAGACAGCGATTCATTGGAACACGAGTGGTTTTTCAAACTAAAAAGCAAAAGGGATTTTTTTTCTTTTATTGCAGAGTTCTTTCTTTCTTTTTTTTTTTTGGCGTTTCAGATGGTGTACAAAATGTTCTTTGGTCTGTTGATATTTTTGTTGTTTTGTTTTTCTGTTAGTTTTTTTTTTTTTAGTTTTTTTCCTAAAGAACGTCACTGAAAATCATACGACACAATAGTGTTGTATCATTCAAAACTTTTCAAAGAACAAGAATATTTTGCAGAAATCTTTATTTTGAAACAAGAGATATGGTATTGTCTGGAAGTTAGCAAATTTGATTATCACTTGTCCTTTAGAAAATTGATCAAATTTAGGGTCACTGGGACTTGCTATATTTGAAGTATAAATATTTATCTAATATATATAGTGGACGAAATGTTTTAAATGCACGAAGACAAATACATCTTAAAAGAATGAAATATATATAGAATGAAATATATATATATATATATATATATATATATATATATATAAGGCTCAAACACTAATATTCCATGGTTATAATTTATTACATTGGAATTGTAATCATGATCAATTCATTAGACCTACAAATTCAAAAAGCCTTTTGGAAATCCTCTTGGAAATTTATATATATATATATATATATATATATATATATATATATATATATATATATATATATATAACTAGCTTGAAAGCATCCCTATCGGGCAGCATTTTAACTAGTTCCTGTGGGGGGCTCTTGATCGGGTCTTTATCACAATAGCCAGGGAGGAGTAGATGCGATAGGCAACAATAAACTACAGAAGAACTCAAAATTGATTGCTGCATTTAAGTATTTCATTAATATTTAAGCTTACCATTTTAAAACTTAAACAACCGCATTTATTATATATATAGAAAAAAAGATGAGATATTTAAAAGTTAGAGATTTGTGTTCTTTTAATTGAAAAAAGTATTGACACACACAGACATTTTCGCATTTATTATATAGACGTAACTATAAACTAGATGGATCTTCACTTAGAAACATTGTAAAGAAATACACAAATCTAGTCAACAAAAACAAGAATAGGAAGTAATGGAGGGCCATGATCAACGTAACGAAATTGTGTAAATGGATGGAAGAACAGGGAATGCGGGATAGCAAAAAGAGAAACGTTGTTAAGAACTACAAAAGATAAGAAGTCGTGGAGAGCCATAGTCACCCTACCTAACGAGATTGTAGAAAGGGCATGTGAGGGATAACAAAAAGAGAAACGTTGCTCAGAGCTACAAAAATAAGTAGTAGTGGAGAGCCATGATCAACCTCTCTAACGAGATTAAATCAATGGATATAAGAACATGGAATCTGAGCGACTGCAAAAAGAGAAACGTTGCTAAGAGCTACAAAAGATAGGAAGTCGTGGAGAGTCATGATCAATCTACCTAATGAGATTGTGCATTATGACAGACCCAAGATAGTGAACATAAAACCTATTGCAGATTTCTTTAACTCTGTATTTGTTTCTTTTCTTCTCTTTCTCTTTTTTCTTATTCTCTTCTTTCTTGTATATTTCTTTTTTTCTTCTTCTTCTTCCTTCTCTTCTCTCTTTGGGCTTCACTTTTTCTTACTTCCTTTCTCTTTTTCTCCTATTTTCACTTTGTATCTATCTTCTTTCTTTCCCCCCTTCATCTCGTTTTCAATTCTTTCTTTTTTACTCTTTCTCCTTTTCTTTCATCTTCTCTCGCTATCTTTCCCCACCTCTCTTTCTTCGTGTTGTTTTCACTCTCGTTCTAAGCTTCCTTCTCTCTTTCTCTCCCACTCTTCCCTTCATTCAGTTCTTCGTCATCATCTACTTACTGTTCTTTATGAGTTACAACTTCCAGTGACTCATTTACAACTGAAAACTTCCTAAGCGACTTTACAACACTCACTCCCGCTGTCTTTTCCCCGCCCCCTTTCTCTGTTTCCTTTTCTCTCTTTCTCTTTCTCTCTTTCGCTTTTCTCACACTATTTGTCACCGTCTCTCTCTCTCTCTCTATCTCTATCTCTCTCTCTGTTCTTTCTTATCGTAGCGAACCACGCTCATTTTCTGCATATCCCATTGCTCAGTAGTTCCAATGCAATCGCTTCTTCTCACGAGCAGCTAATTTGTGGAACCGACTCCCAAGAGGATGCTTCTCCGATCACTACACTCTTAACCTGTCCAAGTCTAGGGTTAACCGTTATCTTCTCTATATATTCCCATAAAATATGTCTCTAACGCCTTACTCTTTAAGCCTCCGTCTAGAATGGCTCTTGAGCCTTGTACAAAGCTCAACATTATTATAAAAGACCTCCCCCTCTCTCTCTCTCTATCTTTCACCATATTCTTGAACTATTCTATAGTACTTTCTTACTTTCTTTATTTCCCTTCCTTTCTCTCTTTTCTACCCCCTCTTCCGCTATACATCTCTTCTGCCTTTCTCTGTTTTTTCTATCTTTCTCATCTCTCTTTTTGTATTACTCCCTCTCTTTCTCCCCTCCTTCTCTTTGCCAGTGTCTTTCTTTCTTTCTCTTTGTCTCATTTCTTTATCGATCTCTTTCTCTTTTCCTTGCCCTCTTTTCCATCCCCTTTTCTCTTTCACCCTCTCCTTCTCTCTCTCTTTCTCTTTCCATCTCTCTATTTCTCTTCTCCCTTCTCTCTTCCTCTTTCTATTTTCATCTATCTTTCTTCGGCTCTCTCTTTCTCCCTAACTCCAGAGCCATATTGTCCATATGTCTAATAGTATACTGTGTTCTTTTCTTCCATCTCTAAATTTCTACCATAGATTCATTAGACGTGAGTGATCATGGCTCTCCACAAGTTCCTATCATTTGTAGCTTTGTCGTTTCATCATCTTTCCCCATCTCTGTTCTGATATCCATTTGTACAAGCTTGTTAGGTAGATTACTCAGTGTTTTCCCTGTCACTCGTTCTTTAAATATATCCTGTAAGTGTCAAATTCTCCAAACCTACTTTCTTCATTATTCAAATTTCATCTGTCTGTTTCTGATTCTGAGTATAAGCGGCGTTTTTTGCTTCCATTTTCTTTAAAACTTCCCCGTTACTCACATATTCAGTCCATGGTATTCTCAGCATCCTTCTGTAGAACTATATCTCTGTTACCTTAGTTTTCCACTTCATCGTCCTGGGCATGACGATAACCTACATCCGTCAGCAAGATCTCTGATCGGGAGGTTTTAAGGGACGTGGAACTACCTCTTAATTGGTAGCACCTTTTGGGGTCCCAGCTATGGGTAAATAGTTAATCCTCAAACTGGGGTCAAAACACTATAAAAGTATGAAAAATACCAGCAATACATTTTTGAAAAATAAAGTTTTTTTACCAGCAATGAATACATATTCTATTCATACGAACTTATCCTAAAAATCTTGTCGGCATTAAATAACCTATTGAGGTTGATATGCCGTAAAGCAAACCAAATGAAACTAAATCTGATCTACAAATTGGTTTCTTACAAAGAATATATATTCTATTCATACGAACCTACCCAAATGAAACCAAATCTGATCTACAAATTGGTTTCTTGCAAAGAATATATATTCTATTCATACGAACCTATCCTAAATATCTTGCCAGCATTAACCCTAGAACACTAACCATCAATTAAAGTTACACCACTACTAACCATGGGTATATCATAGCCGATTTTGAAAATATCAAAAAAATATTAAATATAAATCTTGATTTGAAATATTTTACATGCATGCACTTCAAACATTGTACTTTGAGTTAACATTAATACGAACTGAAAGACATATTATTTAGGTAAGAAAATCAAGTACTTAAAATTGTAATTAAAAATAGGAAAAATTGCGCTGGGTACTATATACCCATGGTTAGTGTTCTAGGGTTAGCCCATTAAGGTTGATATGCCGTAAAGCAAAACAAATCAAAACAAATCTGATCTACAAAGTGATTTCTTACAAAGAATACATATTCTATTAATACGAACCTATCCTAAAAATCTTGTCGGCCTCAAATAACCCATTGAGGTTTATATGCCGTAAAACAAACAAAACCAAACAGTCTCTTCTTCATATATAAGGATATTGTCCACTGCCATATTAGAGAAATAGTATTACATCGTAGTTCATCACTCTTTTATCTTTCGAATGACATTTTTCGATTTCTTCTTTCTATTGATGAAACTTTTTTGCTTGTAATATATGTAGGTTTAACGAGGGCATACTACTAAAAAAAAAAACTAAAAAAAGAATTAAAATAACAAGAATGGGGATCTTCGAAACAACAAAAAAGATAAAGCTATTATTCTTAATAAACCTTGAATACTGATACTGCTTCAGTCGGTAATCAAGGATTTCTATTTTTTACGGTTTGTCAATATTTTGTCGAAACCTATTTTGAAATGTAAAAACTTTTTTTCTTTTTTTTTCTAATGGATATTGCATTAACATTTTTTTTCAGAATATCAATTAATTTTCAGATATAAATACTACTATTTAATCCATAGCTGGGGGATGGACTCATGATTTTTTGAGGTGGGGATTTGCGTGTTAGTGAATGTAACGAATCCTACTGGAATTCGAACCAGGTCCCCCAAATTATCATTTCGAGCCGCTATCCATTACACCACCTGCGCACCCGCCAGTAACGGGAAGACCAGAAACCACTTCAGCGGAAATGTTGTATTAA